GGCGTGTCGTAGCTAGCTTTTTTTTATCATGGAGTTCGCGCTTAGGACAGTCCATGTGAGATATTTGACGAACAAAGTAGAGTTGGGATTTTTTCTCCCTCTCTCTCTCTGAGTCTTTCTGGGGCAGTGTTTGGCAGAGTGTGGAACGTGTACCATCGGTGGTACGCGTAAGCAGAAAATAAATTATTAAAACTTGTTCCATAGTTATATCTGCTGTCAGATGAACTCTGATATAGAGAAAATTGAACATTTTCTTTAACACTGATAAATCTCATAACGTTCTTTACGTTTTTCTGCTTTCTGTTGCACAAGCTAGTCTGAAAATTGTGGGGATTCTGCCTTGAGTCCTACAAAGAGTTTATAATTTTTTAGGTTGTGTTTGGTTAGGTTAGGTTAGATTGGGTTTGGTTAGGTTAGGTTGGGTATGGTTAGGTTAGGGTGTGTTAGGTTAGGTTGTGTTTGGTTAAGTTAGGTTGGGTTTGGTTAGGTTAGGTTGGGTTTGGTTAGGTTAGGTTGGGTTTGGTTAGGTTAGGTTGTGTTTGGTTAGGTTAGGTTAGATTGGGTTTGGTTTGGTTAGTTTAGGTTGTGTTTGGTTAGGTTGTGTTTGGTTAAGTTGTGTTAGGTTAGGTTAGATTGGGTTAGGTTAGGTTAGGGTGTGTTTGGTTAGGTTAGGGTGGGTTTGGTTAGGTTAGGTTAGATTGGGTTAGGTTAGGTTAGGGTGTGTTTGGTTAGGTTAGGGTGGGTTTGGTTAGGTTAGGTTAGATTGGGTTAGGTTAGGTTAGGGTGTGTTTGGTTAGGTTAGGGTGGGTTTGGTTAGGTTAGGTTAGATTGGGTTAGGTTAGGTTAGGGTGTGTTTGGTTAGGTTAGGGTGGGTTTGGTTAGGTTAGGTTAGATTGGGTTAGGTTAGGTTAGGGTGTGTTTGGTTAGGTTAGGGTGGGTTTGGTTAGGTTAGGTTAGATTGGGTTAGGTTAGGTTAGGGTGTGTTTGGTTAGGTTAGGTTGGGTTTGGTTAGGTTAGGTTAGTGTTTTATCTCCATCAGTCATCCCATTCATTGCCATGAGTCTTCGTTACTTTGGATTTATCTCCTCTGGAGTAAATCTAAAGTGATGCTTACTGACATTTCGGCGAGAAGTCCATAAATGAATCGATTCTCGACCGATTCGTTGGTTTGACGAACCGAAATTTGCTGGAAAACAGAGACACGACTTGTTGAGTGATAGTTTATGTTTCAGCAACAGCAGCAGTTGGCAGAATTGGGAAGGAAACAGTTGGAGCAAGCGATGCAACAGCTGCAGGAGCAGCTCCAACTGAATCTGATCCAACAGACGCATCTCCTTCAGACAGGCGACAAGAAGAAGGCTGCAGCTCCGTTGCAACAATTAGCTTTGCAGCAACAGCAGTTGATGCAGCAGTTACAAATTACACAGAGGCAGTATCTTCTACAGCAGGGTATCGGCATTCAGCCCATGGTTATTGCGCAGGCGCAGGCCCACGCGCAGGCTCAGAGCGCAGGTAGGCCCAAGGCCGTTGCTGAAGTCTGTCCAGCTCTGGTTCGGATGATGGGCGTGAATTTTATTCGAGTTTCAAAACCACGAATACAGGCGTTACGGCCCTTCCATCAGGTCTCGAAACGTCGGAAGATGTTGCGACAGGGAGCCCTGGGAATACCGTAGGCTATATAAAGCTGTCAAAAAAAGAATATACATGAAATAAAAATGGGTAATCGTCTTTAATCTTTCACGTTAAATATTTAAAGGCGCTGTGTGTTCTTCGATTTGGAGGTTATGTTTGAACAGGAACGTCGAGAGCAATTTGACATGAGAATTTTTTTTCTTTCCAGACTTTGTTACCGTAAATACGACAAATTGATATGTAAACGTTTGTTGACGGAATTAGGTTTGAAGACCTGAAGTCACGGGAACTGATAACTGCACGGAAACATGTGTAATGATGTTATTAGGAGGAAAGTAAGAAAAAGGCCGATGTTCATGTAAATTGACTGGTCACGTCCATGACGACTTAAGCCACCGACCGACGGCTAGAGACAATTACGTATTTATTATTGACAGGAGAATGGACGAACGTAATTTTGTGATCAGAGCAATGAAAGTATTAAACAGAAATCTGAATATGTATAATATTAAACCGTCTATTAAAATGTATTCTGTTTTCAAAATAGGCTTCTCGTGAATCGGATTAATAAATTACAAACATCAACAAAATTCCTGATTAAAATCAGTTACTTCTTTTGAATATAATAGCAATTTCTTCGTATTTCGATGGAAAATACGACGTAATTTTGTCGTTCATATGAAATATCACAAAGAAGTTATGAAGAATTGTTTCCAAGATGATATTTCTTGAATGAGTTTGCGGAGGGATTTGTTTGCGAAACAAATTGATACGTAAACTGATATATAGAAGAATTATAAAGAATTAAATTTCAAATATTAGACTTAAAATGTTTAGGAAGGAAGACAATAATATTTGTTGTTTGTACCAGTAAGTCTGCGACAGTTTCAGGTAATGTCAAATGAACGACGTACGAATATTTATAGGCAGGTATATTTTTGACGTCAAGGAAATTGCCCCTACCTCTAATGTTCGTTGCGATGTGTACATAACCAATACAATCTTTTATTTATGTGACGTCTGGATTACGTAACAACAGTTCAAAAGGATAATAGTCGTACTTAAAAAAGATGACTTTGTGGTGTTTTATATTCCAAAGTTTAATGACTGGTACAGTCCAACAGTTGCAAGAAACGCTCCACGAAATATTGGAACTATTTTTTTCATTCCACTGATAATTCGTAATAAATTAACTCAGACGTGATTTATGATTTTATATATTATTGATTTGAGAGAATAAAATGCTTGTTATTACAAAACAAATAAATTATCTGCAGATAACAAACAGCAATCAGATTTCTGTGATATAATTTTGGTAGGAAAATTAGTTTTTCAAAAGTTACTACGCGTGTCAAGGCCAACGAGTTTCCGTTGATTCTGTTAACAGCTTACTTTAAGACTATAGTCAGATATAATTCTATGTAAACTTAACTACTCTTACGATATGCACTACGAGCTTTAAAACGTACGTTTGTTGCAATTATTTGAATATGAACGAGTGAAACTTCGTAAGGACTCGACAGATTACAAAGGAAGTCAATTCTGCCCAATGATCCTTAAGGCCTTCGGTCGGTCATATTTTATTACGAAGATTTAGGTCACGAATTTCAAAAAAAAAAGTACACCAATCAAAGATATACGGAAATCTAAAAATTTCCCCCCTGTGACGGATCTTTGACTTATCTGATATGTAACAACGTCTATTATTTATAGAGATCAAGAAATTGAAGAGGCTGTTCGTAAAAAATCTAGTCAGTATTTTACTATCCATCTTATAAGACGTGGAGATTAAAATTGAGTTTCTTATTATCAAATTCTTAAGGATTAAAACGTATTATAACTGATTTTTAATGGCCCCAGTCACGAATATTATCTCCATGGGTGTAACAACGACTTAAGATGTTACGAAGGGATTTCCTGTTGCTTACGTCATCATGAAACAAGAAGAATGAAAAAAGTATGATAATGAATTTTTGTGTTTGTTTTTGCAGCGCGTAGACAGAGAAAGAATAGAACACGTTTTAAAATCAGACGAATAATTTTAATCGATAATCTAATATATTTAAAAAAAAACATTTATTTTTATGTTTTTTAATATATCAGTGAATTTTTTTTTAAAATAGACAAAAGACATTTTCCACTACATTTTATTCTGAAATTTTGGTGAATATTTGTGTTCGCGTCTTCCTTTCGCCGAAGTTAGAAGAAGATAAATACAAAAAGTGAAAATGAAGAATGGTGTTTTACGTATATAATAAGATTGTTCAAATACATCAGCTTATTTTTTTTCTAACAATTACGATCGTGTCCTGCAAAAACTCTGATTGAAGATCTTAGTGAAAATAAAAATAATAATTATAATTTTAACACGGGTCATCTCGCTGACAGACAACTCCCTGTGGAAACAAAAGAAGTGTCTATTGCACACTGTGCCAGCCAGCGTACTGTAAGCACGAGGAGGCGAAGAGCTTGTCATATGAAGGTACGTTTTCCTTGCTCCTAAAATCCGACCTCTTTGTTTCTTTCCCCATCCAGCCAATAGAATCCACGATCACACTGAAGGGCATTAGCTACTAGTTAAAATGAGATTTGAGAGACAAGTGAACACGAGAAGCTGCTTTCGATTGGTCGAGGCCAGTCTGCTTGGAGTTCCGCACACAGAGTATGGGTGTCAGTCCGCCAGGTGTCAGGCGCGTACGAGGTCGCTGCAATGACGGACGCGCGAGCGAGCGAGCGAGTGAGGTTAGGTTTCACGTGTGTAAGACAATATTTAAGCCCTTCCTTGTCCTTGAAATGATCCATTCCCCGCCTGAGCCCTTCCGAACCTGTACCAGACGAAGCCTTCGTCTCTTCTTGATGCTGCTTCACACGTGAAACCCGCTGTCTGCAGAACAGCTAGGCGTTCTTTCCTACTCTACGAACGTCGCACTCTAGCTGCTATGGAGGGGTCGAGTGTACTACACAGTCTGAATAAACAGTTTAGTAGAATAAAGGCACGGGAGGAGATTATTTTTGTGAACACGTGCAACGCCCAGAGTCCGCCAGAGCTTGGAAAGGGAATAAATAAAGAGAAGGAGAGGAAGAGATAATAGGAATAAAGGAGACGGGGACAGAGAATCTGACACTGACACCCACATTATGTGCGGAGTTCCAAAACGGATGACAAACAACGCTCGCAGAATGATGAACCTGTACAGAGCTTGCAAATTTAAAAAAAAAAATTCCCTCATCAGCTTGTTTCCCGTTCCAGTTTGTCGTGCTTACTTTGCAGTGGGCGTTCGTAAAGCGCTTATGACTTTGCGTGATGTTAGTGTTGTCTGGTTGCGTACTCACAGCGCGGATAAGATAACGCACTGAAAAGTAGTCCCTCGTTTTGGACTGTCTAGCGTTTTTCGCATTTCATATTATCTGTAAATTAACTAAATTAACATTTCAGCCTCATGTCATATACAATTAAAAAAGAATAAACTTGATTCGTGACAACTTTCAGAATTATTTTTCTTCTGTGACACGTTCATTCGCGCTTAGACAAGACAAGTGTTCCGCCATGTTTTTGATACTAACACGCGAATTAACAAAGTGATTCGGTTCCAGTTACGAACGATTTACAACGGTGACCTCAAAATAACTCCTGAGCTTTGACGACAGTTACAAATACAAATAATTCGGCACAGAAATGTAAATATAAATTCTCTAGAATTTGCAAAGACGTAAACACTACCTGGCACGAGAAACAAAGCTAGTTTCCATTGTTGTAATCTCGTTTTGCTTCGCTGTAATCGACATTCTATAAGCCACGGTGGTCTAGCGGTTAGAACGCTGGCCTTGTAATCCTGGGGGTCTCGGGTTCGATTCCCGGCGGTGCCCGAATTTTTAACTTGTGTTGGGCAAGGCCAACAATTACACCATTCACACTCACACAGAAGAAGGCAATGGCAAACCACTTCTGGATCATCTGCCAAGAACGTATATGAACAGGTCCCAGTCCGAGAAAAGGATGGAAGGATCCTGTTCATATGGACCTGTCCTCAGACAGAACACTAAATAATAATAATAAGCGACATTTTACCTTGTCTCTCAATCTGATTGTTTTAAATTACTCTGTGAATTGTTGTTAATATTCCTGCATGAACATTGAATTGTAGTTTCGTCATAAGCAAGAAATGTAGTTTTAAAGTTTCTTGCTGAATTTGTGTACACTATCGGCCTCCAGGCTTGCAGCCCGCAGACGTGACCAGCCCGTGGAAAGAAGCTTCTAGCGAAGGGATGGATGTCCATCATAACTCGGCTACCCACAAAAGCATCACCGGTCTAAATGGTAAGTACCCTCTCAAGGAAACGAAGTGTAAAATCGATCAGACACTTAAAAAAATGTTTGCCCGCCGCTTCGAGTGGACTCGACATCCGTCTCTGAAGCGTCCAGTCGTTTCGTGGGATAAAGCCATGTTGATACGCGTTGTTGCAGGGTTGTTGAGTTCCATGGGGCTTGGTCGTAGAGAAGGACTGAACGGAGTGGCGGGTCTACAAGACGACAAGCTCTTGGACGGATGTGGCAACGATAAGATGCATCCTCTGTATGGACACGGGGTATGCAAATGGCCTGGCTGCGAAGCCATTTGCGATGACTTCCAATCATTTCTTAAGTAAGTATAATCACGAGCTGAAGAAGGGAATTTTGGACGAATCTGTGCGTTTTACTTCCGATAAAAGTACGAAAAAGCAATGGGATCACAGGGGTTTGGGGGGGGGGAACAGATAAGGAAACGTGTATAATTTGGGAACAAAGTTAATTATTCATGTATAAAATACGTTTTTTTAATGAAAACGATGAAATTTGTACATAGAATTATTCTTTTGTTCATTGTAATTCGTACTGTTTTGAAAAACTCTCGTACTGTCGTCGTATCAAATTGAAAGAACGTAATTTTCATTTAAATCGGAGCGAAATTTTAGAAATAATTTTAAAAAAAGTGGAGTTCCGGACAAATGTATAGTCACACAAATCTTGCGTAGTCTACGAATTAAAATTTTTAAATAACAAATTAATAAATAGAATATAATTCGAAGAGGACTTAATGGGAGAGATATGGATTAATCTGGCTCGAGATGGGGGTATTTTGGTGAAGTCTTGGGACCACGTTAGCGAAACTTTATGGTTAAATGAAAGACAAGAGAATTTATTGATCAGTTGGTTCACTATCAGCTTCTCGAAAGTGATCTTCGCTTTAAATGTATTTATAAACAGAATTTTTTTTAAAAAAAAATAAACAATCTGGCATCTTTTCTCTTACAGCGGGAACAAGGTTTTATACGTTTGTTGATACGCGGTATTTTTTTTTGTCTTTATAGTTATTTTTGCACTTAAGACGAAATCTCAGAGCAAAGACTTAATTAACATGTTAAACGCGAAGTTTTTACTTCTCCCTTTAACATAAAGACACAGCCGAACTTGGGCTACAGAATAATTAAAAGCTGATTTTTTGTGATCTATTTTCCAAACCTTCGTCTTCTTAGAACATTCGAACGAATAATCAGAGCCTTCTTGATGTTTTCCATTTGAATTCTCCGTTTCTCGCTCTTCCTGCCATCTTGCGGTATGTAGATTGATTATACCGCGTCGTAACTTACCCTTCCCGGGCAGCTCATCTTATCCTGCCAATATTTGACCAAGAATTCCCATTTGAATGTTCATGGGTTGGCAACCACGTTTGGTAATCTTTCTGAAATGTGAACAATGAAAATTGCCTCACTCAGCAAAAACCTCGCCCTCGCTTGTTTTTTTTTTTATCGTGAGATACACAGAAAAGGCACTACCTCGTTGTTTTTAAAACACTAATTACTCTCTGCCTAATTAATATTCAAGACCTCTCAGCGCCTCATGAGTTAAATCCTTGCACCACGTCGCCTCGCGTTCCCACGCTCAAACTAATCCGATTCGCAAGATATTGAATAAAAAGTTTTTCTTTTTTACTCATTTAAATCTGAGTGAAAAGGAAATTTCCTTACGTAGCTTTGAAACACGTGACGAACCAGGCAGAGAGAATATTATCACAGATATAACAATGTAATGTTCAGTTCACAGATAACCTTAGGTCTGTAATGATAATTGTTGCATCTGTCAAGAGCATATTTTGAAACGGACTAATTACAATTCGAATGGAAATAGAATTTTTAGTAAATTTTCTTCGGTTCCTCAAGAAAATTGCTGGAGAAATACCTTTAATGTGCCACGACACTTTTCCTTCAATGCATTTCCCATTTCGTCATTAATGCGCGTTATGTTATCGGCGATGTGGGACATATGTGGCTTCTAAACGAAACAAAACAATGTTAGTTTTGTTTTTACATAGAAATAAAGCAATACCAAAAGACAAGGACGATATTCAAGTGTGAAGATTTCTTCCTTTACGTAATATGAAAGAGGTAGTCCACATTTGACACATCAACAGATCTCTTAAAATGGCGTGAAAAATTCTACGTAATAGATGAACAGCGAAATGAAAATGATGCAACTTGAAACAGTTAGTTCGAGGAATAGCCGTTAGGGAACAGCACAAATCATACACGGCACGCGACTTCCTGTTTGTAGTTCGCTTTTACTCCGAATCCAGTCGTTACTGGTGCAGGGAAGTAGTTGGTAGTGAAGAAGGCGCCATGAGTTCCTTACACAACTTATTGTTTCCCCCATAATAACCTGTTATACTTGCATACGAATGGCCATTAATTTGTTTCACGGTGTTCCATGACCTAACCGTGACTTGGGACCCAGGGTGTCATAATGCGGCATTTGGTCAGGGTCATACATCACATGGGACATGGTTAGAGGTATACAGCAGTGGTGGTGCAACTGTGATTAACAGGAGTAACCCGCGTAGAGAAACCAGTGTATAAGCTGGAGTAAATCTATCGGAAGTTCGTATTTTAGCTGTTGTTTGCAAGTGAGCGTCTGCTATTATGAAATAATATAACTACAGATTAACGAATTTTGGTGAAATTTGGGATTACCGGCGTCCTAGAACGTGTTTGGTTAAATGTTATTTTCAGGTGGACTGCACATCTCTGACTTCTATTCACATGGTGGCTTAATATGGTTAGTTGTATTTCATTATGCAGAGTAATTAATAAGTCCAAGTCAGGAAGGCGGAGTCATTTTAATTTCAAAGGAAGATAAATATGAAACTGAAATAAGTGTCGACAGATAGCAGTATGCTACAGTGTACTTCACATTAAGAAACCATGTTCAAATGTGTACTCAGGTCACTGACAGACAATTCGAACAGTTTTGTGTCATGTGTTTCGTTTTTAAATAACACTACGTTAGTTCAGAATGTAATTATTGTGAAAGTCTTGTAGTATTTTAAAATTGCCACGACTCTCTTGACTTTTCAGAATTGAAAATAGGCCTGTTTCTACTCACTTTATTAATCTACCTGCAGCATCTGGTATACTCTTGTTGAATCACTCTGCAGGACTTTTATTTAATTTTTAATGTAATTTAGCAAAACAGACACTTCATATCTGAAATGTATAGTCACGAGTATATAAATTTATAAAAATATCAATATATTTATATTTTTAGGCGACTTTCAAAAAAAAAAAATTCTTTCATTTTCTGAACTTTTAGGGTTTATGTTAACTTACCCTGCCATTGCCGAAATAAATTATTTGATTTCTACGAAGGCTGAGTTGTTTCTTTGCATTGTATGCCACCCATTTGTTTTGAAGTTCATTAATTTCTGCTGATACACATTTTTGTATAAATTTTTACACAATTTTTGTTATATAATATTATGATTTTGTTCTCTTCAGTTAAATTTTGAGCTTCTAATATTTTACTTTTTTTTTTTTTAAAAAAAAAACTCTGTTCACACATCACTAGTATTAATGTTTTAAAAAATAGAGTTTTCTTACCAGATGATCTAACTGCAGCTGTGGCTCTTCGCATCATCTCACGCAGACTCACTGAGCGGGAACCCAAAGCATTGGTTATCACGTTGATAGACTCAAGTCCTGAGTTGTTAGTGCTATTACTTCCCTCTGGTGGGCAGAAGCAGATATACACACATAGTATATACATACACAAAGTTTTTTACCTATATATATATATATATATATACACACACACACACACACAGCTTGTTTTTTTTTTATCGTGAGATACACAGAAAAGGCACTACCTCGTTGTTTTTAAAACACTAATTACTCTCTGCCTAATTAATATTCAAGACCTCTCAGCGCCTCATGAGTTAAATCCTTGCACCACGTCGCCTCGCGTTCCCACGCTCAAACTAATCCGATTCGCAAGATATTGAATAAAAAGTTTTTCTTTTTTACTCATTTAAATCTGAGTGAAAAGGAAATTTCCTTACGTAGCTTTGAAACACGTGACGAACCAGGCAGAGAGAATATTATCACAGATATAACAATGTAATGTTCAGTTCACAGATAACCTTAGGTCTGTAATGATAATTGTTGCATCTGTCAAGAGCATATTTTGAAACGGACTAATTACAATTCGAATGGAAATAGAATTTTTAGTAAATTTTCTTCGGTTCCTCAAGAAAATTGCTGGAGAAATACCTTTAATGTGCCACGACACTTTTCCTTCAATGCATTTCCCATTTCGTCATTAATGCGCGTTATGTTATCGGCGATGTGGGACATATGTGGCTTCTAAACGAAACAAAACAATGTTAGTTTTGTTTTTACATAGAAATAAAGCAATACCAAAAGACAAGGACGATATTCAAGTGTGAAGATTTCTTCCTTTACGTAATATGAAAGAGGTAGTCCACATTTGACACATCAACAGATCTCTTAAAATGGCGTGAAAAATTCTACGTAATAGATGAACAGCGAAATGAAAATGATGCAACTTGAAACAGTTAGTTCGAGGAATAGCCGTTAGGGAACAGCACAAATCATACACGGCACGCGACTTCCTGTTTGTAGTTCGCTTTTACTCCGAATCCAGTCGTTACTGGTGCAGGGAAGTAGTTGGTAGTGAAGAAGGCGCCATGAGTTCCTTACACAACTTATTGTTTCCCCCATAATAACCTGTTATACTTGCATACGAATGGCCATTAATTTGTTTCACGGTGTTCCATGACCTAACCGTGACTTGGGACCCAGGGTGTCATAATGCGGCATTTGGTCAGGGTCATACATCACATGGGACATGGTTAGAGGTATACAGCAGTGGTGGTGCAACTGTGATTAACAGGAGTAACCCGCGTAGAGAAACCAGTGTATAAGCTGGAGTAAATCTATCGGAAGTTCGTATTTTAGCTGTTGTTTGCAAGTGAGCGTCTGCTATTATGAAATAATATAACTACAGATTAACGAATTTTGGTGAAATTTGGGATTACCGGCGTCCTAGAACGTGTTTGGTTAAATGTTATTTTCAGGTGGACTGCACATCTCTGACTTCTATTCACATGGTGGCTTAATATGGTTAGTTGTATTTCATTATGCAGAGTAATTAATAAGTCCAAGTCAGGAAGGCGGAGTCATTTTAATTTCAAAGGAAGATAAATATGAAACTGAAATAAGTGTCGACAGATAGCAGTATGCTACAGTGTACTTCACATTAAGAAACCATGTTCAAATGTGTACTCAGGTCACTGACAGACAATTCGAACAGTTTTGTGTCATGTGTTTCGTTTTTAAATAACACTACGTTAGTTCAGAATGTAATTATTGTGAAAGTCTTGTAGTATTTTAAAATTGCCACGACTCTCTTGACTTTTCAGAATTGAAAATAGGCCTGTTTCTACTCACTTTATTAATCTACCTGCAGCATCTGGTATACTCTTGTTGAATCACTCTGCAGGACTTTTATTTAATTTTTAATGTAATTTAGCAAAACAGACACTTCATATCTGAAATGTATAGTCACGAGTATATAAATTTATAAAAATATCAATATATTTATATTTTTAGGCGACTTTCAAAAAAAAAAATTCTTTCATTTTCTGAACTTTTAGGGTTTATGTTAACTTACCCTGCCATTGCCGAAATAAATTATTTGATTTCTACGAAGGCTGAGTTGTTTCTTTGCATTGTATGCCACCCATTTGTTTTGAAGTTCATTAATTTCTGCTGATACACATTTTTGTATAAATTTTTACACAATTTTTGTTATATAATATTATGATTTTGTTCTCTTCAGTTAAATTTTGAGCTTCTAATATTTTACTTTTTTTTTTTTAAAAAAAAAATGTCCCATCTTACAAAAATTTGTCTCCACTGTTCAATATAAACTTTATTTACTTTTGTTAATCGCTCTTCAATTCTATTTTTAAGAATACAGTGAAACATATAACATGCAGCAAGAAGATATAGTGTTGTGCTTGAATACATAAGATTATACATTTAAATTTATTTTCCTTCATGTCAGTCATGAACGCTGGCTAGCACCATGTACCGAGTGTCTCTTGAGACCACGAAGCTACCTTTTGAAATGTATTTAACTGTTAACATTACATTTGACAGGCACCTAAACACAGAACACACGTTAGACGACAGATCCACCGCGCAGGCGAGGGTACAAATGCAGGTGGTATCGCAGCTGGAACTTCAGTTGCAGAAAGAGAGGGATCGACTGCAGGCAATGATGCATCATTTGCACATGTCGAAACAGCAAGCGTCTCCCGAACCTCCAAAATCAGATCCTACGGTAAGTTACTAAGTATTATTATTATTTATTATTAACTGCAAATGGGTTTATACCCGGTGGCAGTGGGGGCTACAATAAGACGCAACAAAACACTTGATATTAGTACAGTCCGGAAAAAATCTTGAATTCCAAGTTTTCTTCGTCCTTTGTTTTGTCGCTTGTTTGTTTTACCTCTTAAATGTTTTCCAATTTCAGTCGGCCCATATTTTAAATTTCATTGCAGTTGTTGACGCTAGTTAGTCGTTCACTACGAAAGATCTGAGGTTCTCATATCAGTAAGAATCTTGATTGTGGTCTTCTGGGTTATATACGCAACGTTATAATCCAGAAGGCCACAGTCCAAATAGCTGTCCACCGCAGACGTAATTGAAACCTGACGTAAATGAACGTGCCGTTGTAGGCGGAAACGGGCAACTTAAATCCTTTACATCAATCATCAAATGGCTCCTCATCGCTGTGGGGCCAGTCGGACCTCTTTCAGACTGGGCCGGGTCTGACGAAGTTGAGTCTGTCTTCGGTTCTCTTGAGCCAGCCGCCGCCGAGCCTGGCGACATCTGCCGTGAGCCAAGTCGCTCCAGTGTCCATGTCAGCTCTGGTCTCTGCAGTGCGGTCGCCCGTGTTACAACCCCCGACGCCCAACATGGGCGGACCAATCAGAAGGCGGATCAGTGACAAGTCTGCTTTGTCTCTCGCAGGAGGTGAGTGAATTTCCTCTCCTAAAAGAATTCTTAAAAATTTCACTTCGTGTAGAATTCCGTAAAACGAGACGATTAAGAGACTAACTCCGTGGAGCAGAGTTCTTCGTTAGAAGCTAATATAGTCATAAACTGATATGACGTCCCTCTTTATACTGCCGCCATCACATTGTTCTCAAGAAAGCCTTGGTACAGAAATTCCCTATGTAATTGCAAAAAAAATCTCTCAGTCCATCCCCAAAATCTGCAATTAAACATCTAATTAAGTCTGATGCAATGCCATGCCATTTTATTTCCGCCTGTAGTGCAGAGTGGAATATTTAATTGTAAAAGTACTGTACCTCAGCCTCTGTTTTAACTTATTGAGGTAAGGAGCCACGTGTGGTGTCTCGGGGAGCGATCTGGGTTAGTACTTGGGGTCTACTGGCATAAATGATGATATTCTACTATTTAACGTGCTACCGGAAGAGGCACTGGTCTGTAAATGGAGACATTACCGTGAATAAATTGCATGCGGTAAGACGTAAAATTCCGAGAATCGCGGCAGGAAAGTTACAGGTCCGCACATTTCTTTATGTTTCACAGGGCTCATGAACTCTTTCACGATGAATGTGTTTTCAGCGTATTTTCTTCCAGAACCACAACGGTGGTTTTGTAAGGCTGTAGTTACAATAATTTTTTGCTGGTTCTTTATTTTTTATTCATATTTCTTGTCCAAGGTATTTAAGGGACTTTCTGGAGCAATTGTTCAAGCTGAGCTCCGATTTAACGCAATGTTTCGTCTGTTAATCTGTGGTGCTTAGTAAGTGTCAGTTGCTCTTACTTAATTGACGAGATTATGAAAAGTGTTTCTGTTCAAATCTTTCTTTTGAAGCTCCACTTAATATTTGATAGAGTTACTCTTCACGTGAGATTCACGTAAAAGCTTCAGATGGTTCGTTAAATGTATTCACGTAGTGCACAGAGGACATCTTTATATAATACTGCTGACAATATAAAAAAACAAAACAAATGCAGTGGTAATGCGTAGCAGAAAGGCAATATTGTGGCTCAGTGGGAAAATATTCTGCTTCTTGAGCTGTGATCAACAATTTGTGGCTTTTAACTCCCATTTCTCGGTGTCATTTTACAAACCAGTCTTTTTTGATTAGCGTCAACGCCTGCGCTGCTTACGTTTACAAAACTCATTTCTGCGCTGTTAAGTGACAAGATAATCTCCACGGAGATGACCTGTTTTGCGATAATTATTGATTCATGAGTAGATGAAACCATGGCTAGGGAAGAAAGGAGTATTCTGTAACCAGTTTGCAACCATCAGTGTTATTCATCCACAGATGCAGGTTTATTGTAATTTTCAGAACTGCTTTAATCAAAGCCGACAACCATTTCACTAAAATCCACCTATGTATTTACCCAAGACGAGAAGCCCGCAGTTTAAACACCTTCCTTGCAGTCTGTACCGTTCTTCATGCAATTTTAGAGCCTTGTAACCTCTTAAATATAATTAAGTAAACTATTATTTATGCAGTGTGCTCAATAAATTCATGTGTGGACTTTGAGTTCAGCACAAGAAGCTCTTTTGATCTACAGACTTGTTTGACGCTCCCCTTTGTTCGTGGCGAAAATGATAAACACTCGGACATCTTTAAAGAAGTATTATTGTTTATAATAGAAGTTGCAGAGTGAAGAAACTAAATTTATATATGCGGATGGATCTCGTAGGATTTTATGCTGTATTCCCAATAAGATCTTCTCGGGCAATCGGCCGCGTCAGCCGATTAAAAGAAGAAATGAGTCGCTCATAATTTAGTCCATAGATTGGGTGACTTTTTGTCTCTAAACGTGAGATATGTGACGTGTATTTTGTGGTTTACTTCTTTTGCTACTCAGTTTGTTCCGATGGGTTGACCATATTTCTTAAATTAAAACACTTAAATCTGTACATAAAGATTTTTCACTTAAAAAGTCAAATACTGAAATGTGTGGTGATCACGTTCCATAATTGGTCATTCATTCAACTTAAAATACTTTTGGTACTTGTGGGTTATCGGGACACATCGCTTTAAAAATAGGTTAGGTTAGTTTAGTTTAGTTTAGGTTAGGTTAGGTTAGGTTTGGTTAATGTGTGTGGATAAATGACATATACTTCAAAGTTATATTTTATTTCAATAAATGACAACTAACCTAACCTAACCTAACCTATTTTTAAAGCGATGTGTCCTGATCACCCTCAAGTACCCTAATATTTTTAAGAATAATTAAAAAATAATATTAATTTTTAAGATAGTACTCGGCCTTTAATTTTTTCTTCCCAGTTTTTTAGTCAGCTTTGTGTCCATGTTTCATCAGTTCTTAACTTTGAAATGGGCATTTATAGTATGAAGTACGCAATAAGTTGTTAGTAGTGAACGGGCCATGGTTAACGTATGGTAGTACAATAAATCGGACTTATTTGGAAAGTGTCCTGAAATGTTGTTAAAACTTACCGAAGGTCATTACTCATTGGATCATGTAGTTCTGTATTCACAATAATTCTTAGAAGAGGTAGTTTTATCACCAAGCTTAAAGGCAGTTAAATGATCCTTTCTTATACAGAGTGGTATAGTCTGCATTTGAGCTATAGAGTTGAATAAAAAGCATAATTTTAATAACTACCAAAATTAATATGATCCCATGAACTAATTTTGAGAAATGTTAAAAAGTAAATCAATTGAAATTCAAAGTATATTTGTGTGACCACTTATGGATACTACATGCTGTATGATTTGAGGCTTTCGTGGCGACGTAAGTCAATAGAATCTTCTCGGGCGTTCAGCCGCGTCAAACGGTTAAAAGACGAAACCGACGTTTGAGGGACCATCTCTGTCCCCATCGTCACGGTTGTGGTTCCCGAAACGTCGGTCTCGTCTTTTAACCGTCTGACGTGGCTGATCGCCGGAGAAGATCTTATCGAGATACAAACACGCTGTTATGACAGTGCTTTGCTATGTTTTCACTACTGGGAAATGGCGAAGATTGATGTAAGAGTTCAGCTTTACAAAGAACTTAGTCTGGAATTTGCCCTTTCCCTGTAGGACCTTTTGAAGAAACTCCGTTAAGGCGGCGAGTTGCAGACAGAGTGGCAGTAGATATTACTGAAGGTAATGACTGCTTTAAGTGTACAGTGAGGACTTGTGTTGTGTTGTGTTGTTTGAGTCTTGCCTCTGATGACATCCTCTCTTCTCTTTCTCTGCCTCTCTCTTCTGGCTGCTATAGGGCTGCCTTATATGCTGGAGCGGGCAGGACTTGATGTTCAACAAGGTAATGTTTACTCTGTACTTAGTCACTATCAAAACCGTGTTGATTACTTGAACTGATGAAGTCCGTTATAGGGTTTATGAACAATAAGCTGTTATTATAATATTTGTAATATGTAAAATTGACTAACTTAAAAACTAAAGATGAAGGTGATATAGTCCTCCAAAACATCGATGACCACCTACAACCAAAAAGACGACAGCTAGCGTCTTGACTGCTGCAAAAACCTCAATATTAGTTTGTTTATGTAACACGGATATATTATGAAGACAATGTAGAGGCAGCAGAAATTTCAAAATGTCAGCTATAATAATTTTCTTTTTCGAAGTTTACGGAAATAAAGCGGACCGTTTCATTCAGAATCTGCACATGTTTATACTGAATTACCTCATTAAAATACTTCGAAAGAACACGACTCTTGGTTGAAGACTTTTCAGTGAAGGGACGATACAGAATGAGAAGATGGTAGATGTAAGTGCCATCTTAACAGAGTTTCCGTAACTTTTAATGACACCGAATTTATAGTAAGTAATTTAAATTTGGTGAAACAGTTTAATTGGTTAGATGGTGCCCATTTCCTTTTACCGTGTATTATGTCCAGGTCATGAGAAAGGTAAGTGTTGCGACCATTTTTTTCTTTTAAATTGTAATGTGACAGGTTTTACGAAAAAATAATTTATCATGGCAGCCATCAAATGTTCATTTTTGCAATTATATACAGATGCAGTTGTACCAGAATCTGAAAGTAATTCTTGTATTATTATTATTGTTATTATTTTGTGATGTAATCTTGTATTGAAATATTTATTAATTTACAAATGGCACTTGTGGCTGGTGCAAAGAGGATGCTATTATAGTTGAGTCTGACACATTTATAATGTGCAATGTGCGTCACGAATGCCTGTTTAACTTCCTGAAAACATTTGTTTTTTATTGTGCTGTTTTTTTGAAAAGCTGCGTCAAATCACAACTCTTCTTTCTTTGAATTACATTTCTAACATTTCCTGACATAATGCAGAACAAGTAACAGTTCCGTAACTAAGTACCCTCCAGGATATGATTGCAGAAGAAGGTGTCGCTACTCTGACATTTTCTTCCTTCTCAAAAATTATTCATGTAGTTCATAGTTCTCCTTACATCATACTTGACACTACGCGCTGTCAGCGGTTCATAGGTCAGAATTAAATAACTAACAGAAACGAAAAATAGAGTATGTAATCGTCATAAATATTTACGTCTGTTATGGGAGGGGAAAAAGAATTTTGGTTTATTTTATGATGGTCATTATTTAAGAGATGACTTCACCAAATACATGATTTTATTTTTTACTTTATCATAAGTACAGGTTGTCTGGGCAAAAGGTATCAAGAAATAAAAGGTAATTCTGAGGAGACTTGATCGTGTACAAGGTACACGGAGTGGAGACTAAACTTTCCAAAGTTTATGTTATTGGTCAGTACGACTTGATGTGTGTGCTTCTTGTTGCGCAACAATGTTCAAGTGATATTCAACAAAAGTTTTTCCCAGCATGTTTGGTATAGTCAGTGCTACCTGCGTTTGTGTTGTGTTTCCACATTCCCCGCAGGTTTTTCACCCTGTCTCGGTACACGATATTCTTTATCACTTCACTCAAAGAGAAGTCTAATGGGGTGAGGTCATGTGACCTGGGTGGCCGTTACCAGCCGGGAAACATTTGATTCAAGAAAGCACGCACTTCATTGTGATAATGTGGATGAACACCCTCATGTTCAAACTTTGATCTGTGGGAGACTTCATCAACAGCAAAGTTCTTAATCATGTCCCAAGTACGCAGTTCTGGTCTCTTGTCACCTCGTAGAAGAAACGGGACCAATGACACAATTTTTTATCAGCCCACATGATATACTAATTTTTTATGTATCCTTTTCATGTCCTAGCGCAACTTGCCCCACATATGGCAGCTGTGCTTGTTGATTTTTTTGCCTTGTCAGACGAGTAGACAACGTCCAGGTACAAATTGTAATTAAGGGTTATCGTAGCCCCACATATGGCAGCTTGTTGATTTTTTTTGCCTTGTCAGACGAGTCGACAACGTCCAGGTACAAATTGTAATTAGTTGAAAATTCTTCCCAGTTGATTACTGGGTGTGATGTACTGATGAAGCTGGATCTTTTATGCTTTTAAATGCAGACACTTGCGGAAAGTGTCATGAACATTTGAACAGGACAGCTGCAATTCCTGATTCACCCTTTATATTGATTTATGCATTCTCCTGGTAAATGCAGTCTGTACACGTGTAACCGCAACATCACATACAGTGCTCTTCGCATCTAGTCTGTGGCGCTGAAACCTAAATTTCTATTCTTCTATAATTCAAAGATGAAGTGATAGAAATATGTTTTAACATGCACATTCCCCATGACTAATTCATGGTTCACCATATTATATTGTGGAATTTTTTTGCATTAATTTGTGCTGTGCAACATTTTTGACATTCATTTGCTGTTTTCAGTATGTCAGTTCCCATTTAACAAAAATCTTCCAGCATACGCAAACAGTAATGCTTAAAAACAAATTCTCGACAAAAATGGAAATGCATCTGCCTGTGTTAATAAATTTTTACAGTCTTCTTTGAAAAGTTATTACATTTCAAAAACCGTCAGATTTTCTGACGCACTCTGTATATTACTGTTAAGTGTCTCAGGATTGGATAGAAGGGCATTATTCTCTATAAGTGGTGGGCTAATTATTGATAGTACCATATCCAAAAATTTTCTGTTGGCACCACCAAACCTCTCAAAGGATACGTCCACCAAAGATAGCAATTTGAAAAACAAATCTCCAACTACTCTTGAGGTCTAACATGTAAATTTTTTCCTGTCATGATGATAATTGGAATTAGTCACAAAAGTACATGATCAAATACATCATAATTGTTACATGATATTGAATAGGATGCATTTTTTTTGTAAAAAAGAACTTGTCAGAACTTTTCTTTTGTTGTGTTTGTAAAAAAAAACTTGTCAGAACTTTTCTTTTGTTGTGGTACCTTGTGTGTGGCTTGAAAATATTAATCTTTTGGAAACAAACATTGGGAAATGTGCACTGTTATATATATTAAGTGAAAGGGTAGGTGATTGGAGGATGACAGATTTCAGTATTCCTGAAATTCATTGACTTGTATTTACTTATTCACTTTCTTTCCTTTCAGAAATTCAGAGGAATCGAGAGTTCTACAAAAATGCAGATGTGCGGCCCCCATTTACCTATGCATCTTTAATACGACAGGTACGATCAGAAATATTTGTAGTTTCTCTGAATTAATTTGGATTAGTATTTTTTATTCCTGTTACTAATCCTTGTCGGTTTGGGTCATGAAGAAAATACATGTATCAGACTCCAGATGTCAGTAAATGTCAGACTGTTGTACGAGGCACGTCCACAAAGTAAGTTTCCCTGGGGCCGTTTACAGAAACAAAACACAATTTCATGGAAATATTTATTGCAACAGATACAGCAAGTGTCCAGCTATTTTTCAACACATTAGCCACCGGAATTGAGACATTTATCATACCGTGGGACCAACTTTTGAATACCTGGG